CCGAGCTAATGAGGCAGTTTGGCAGCGTCACCAGACTCCGCTTATATTTTTCTTTGACGCATCGACCGCTTGCTTGTCCGGCTGTCCGTCGACGTCCTTCGTCCTTCGTCCTTCGTCCACTCTCCTTGATCCATCCGAGAAAGGGAAGCCGAGGAGAAGAATCGCGAGTAGGAGATTGACGTGGCACGCTATCCCCGTTGACAAGAATGTGACAAGAACCGAACTGATTTTGCTCCCTGCTTTCGTTCGTTCCACGTGCGATGTAGGCGGCGGCGGCATCCTCAACAACCGAAAACTGATCCTCCTCCTTTTATTTTAAACTAAAACAACTCGAATGATTTCGAATTTGTTCGCGCCTACGTCGACGCCTACGATGATCAACAACCCCCTACCCCCTTTATTACGGTGATCGCGTCTTTTCATCGTCCATCGAGAATGATTTTCATTTGTATTTTTTATTTTTATCTCCTATAAGTATACGTAATTGATTATATTATATTTCGTTCGCGTTGTGTTAAAACTTGTCCCGAAAAAAAAAAACATAATGCTTGTCACTTTTGTCCAGCGTTATAATCAGTAAGAATTCCGTGTTGTTTGTAATCCTAAAGAAAATAGAGTAAGAGAGAGAGAAAGAATGAGATTTCTCGATCGTGTCCACCGATTGTGAGAAAAACTATGTCGTCCAGGTGTAATCCTTACTGTCGGGCCACCTGTGGTGCATCAACGAGCCGATCGTTTTACCGGTTTTTCTCGGTTATTAAGAAACCATCAATCTTAAGCGGCGATCCGATCGGATTATGCGGCACTGCGGGATTCTCTTGACCTTCTTCTTCGAGAAAAAAAAAATATAAAACGAAAGAGAAAGAGATAAAAGACAGATCATCCTTGTATAAATATTTTTACGTTTGTTATTGGAATCGCGTAGATCGTTGCGAATAAAGTTGAATTTTGTCGAAAGAATTTTATACGCGCGTAATCCTAAATCATTTGAAATTCTTTAGAGTATCGGTAACGTGATTCTAAGTAATTTCAAAATCTGTAAAAAAACAATAAGTGTCGTTGACGTTGGTTTATCCAACAACTGATTTTCGGGTATACTTTGATCTTCTATTAAACAGATACGAAAAGCTTCAAAACTTGTTCAATTTCATTTGATTAGATTTTCTTAATTTAATTCATTCAATTGTAAGATTATTTTTCTCTCTCTCTCTCTCTCTCTCTCTCTTTCATTTAGTAATAGGTCTTATATTTAAAATTATTCGATGCGCTATATTCAGGTAAATATAGTCGGTTTTCGAATTTGTTGAAATACAGTTTATTTGCATAGATTGGATAGAAAGTTAGTTGATGCAACGTGTGTTCGGATGTTAACGAGCAGAGAAAGGATCACTGTTTAAAGGAGATTACGTGACAAGAATCCATCATCCTCGGCAGGGTAGGTTCGAAATGTTCCTTTGGACCCGCTTCCCAATCGATGGTGGGAGGGAATGAATGAAGGAAGAAGACTTCGGTCCCCAAACGTCAGTCTTTTGGTCCGACAAACAAACGTACGATTCCTGTCGTACACAAACCGGCTGTCACTTCGAGTCGTGTCAGACGTCAAACGACTTTCGTCTTCCCTTCTTCTTCTTCTTCTTCTTCTTCTTTATCCTTTGTCTTTTCTTTCTCTCTTTTAACACTACCATCGGAGAACGTCATGTGGGAAACAAAGTTTGTGTTACTCTTAGAGATTCAGGGACCAGGATTCGAGTTTTAACAGCACAACGAATCTCACTGGGCGTTCCCCAAACTCGCAAAAAAATGACGAGACGATTCTAATGATCGGTACCAAGGCCAACTGTTGTTGACCACTGAAACGAATCAAAGGGCGGACAAATGCATGCCAAGATTCAGACGACTCAATCCTTTTGTGAATTTCATTTACAAATATTATAGAATATATTTTTGGGATACTGAATTATAGTATCATTTTGAAACTCTTCGAGGTATTTGTCAAACACGCTAGTTTTAAAAAACGAATAGAAATTTGTTCTCTTGTAGATAAATAAATAAATAAATAAAAAAATAAAAAAAGAAACAGGTTGATATCGCAAAAACAATTAGGAAAGATCGAATGAGAATCTTAGAGGAATATGCATTGAGACATCGCGAAAGTTAATTAGCGTCTTAGCACGGTAATCTTTTTTCATGGTGTATATCGAGAAGGAGAAATAAATACGTAGGATCGTAAATCGTGAAGAACCAATGGGACGTGGCGAAGACATCGGAGTGGATCCACCATAGGATCGTTTGCCGTTCGACGGGGAACCATACGATCAGGGTCAGACTCTCTCTCGTCCAATCCCTTCTTTCGTCCCTTCGAACGATTACTTTCGTTCTTCCTTCGGCCGTTCATGCTAATCTTCCTAACAACTGCCCTCGCGCCAATAGAGAAGCAGCTTTCGTTCTTCAACGAAAAATAACAGACCACCGTGTACGACGATCCGATGTTTCTCGACGGATAGGTCCACCTCTTTTATCTTAAACGAGAAACTTACAAAAATGGACGACGAGGAGGTAAACTCTACGCGAATTAATGTAATTTTTCAATAAAAAGAATATAATTTAAACAAAATATATTTATTTTTAAATCCTCTCGTGTTTTTCGCAAAACGCCAATTTTTAATCCTTAATAATGCGATATTCATTTGTGAATTTCGAAATAATTAAAAAGGAAAAATATACGATGATAATGTCATTGATTAAATATAACTTGGATTATTATCATTCGAAGTTTAATAATAAAGATGCTAATATATTTGACGTTAAGAAAAAAAAATGTGTATCTTTATTTTATTAAGAAAAAAATCTGAATATAAATAATGATACAAGTATTGAAAGCGACCCAGAGAACAAGATATTCTATTTTAAATCAACCGTAGTATCTCCTAATTGTGTAAGTATAATCTCGAAGCTATCAAATTCGTTTAAATCAAATGAAGGCTACAGAGGTATGTACATATATTGTATATATTCCTACCGGAGACTACCCCGTCGAGATATCCATTAACAGGTACGATAATGTACACCAGAGTTCCGATCGAAGTAGCCATTCGGAAGGAGAATACATAGCGTTGGAACCTTTGTACTCAGCTACTCATGTATCGGCCATTCGAGTAGTAGGCCCCAGTATCCTTATCACATATTCCTAGATTTAAAGGCACCTGGGACCTCGTAGAAGCCGAAGGTGGTACAGTCCGATAATATCTCGCGGTGGCTTCTCTCGATTCAACTCTTGAGCATTAATTCCAAAGCAAATAAGAGAGTAAAGGAAAGGAAAGGAAAGGAAAGGATAGGAAAGAGGATGCAACAAACAGAAAGAGTAAGAGAGAAAGAAATAAATAAAAGGAAGGGCGAGACAAAACGACGCGAAAGACCATCTATGAGATGAGAAAATAATAATAAAGTGGAAATGAGCGAGCCGGTCCATAAATTGCTCCGCTCCTTGTTAATGGTCTGGGGGCCTGGGGCGACCTCAACTAAACGTGGCCCGGTCTGACCCGACTCTCTTCTTATTCTCTCTCTATCTCTCCCTCTCACTCTTTTCTCTGTTGCTTTTTATTTCTTTCCTTCTTTCTTTCTTTCTCTTTCTGTTAGGGCCCCGTTCAAGAGGATCTGGTCCGAGTCAAGTTCGTGGGTCTCTCTCGCGAGGCTCATTTCTGTATTTAATGGACGCCCAGAAATGGCCACCGAGTCGTTGTAATGCTTGCTGCTCTGCTCCCCGTGCTTCGACCAGAAAGAAGAAGAACCAAAAGAATGAGAGTCCAACAGCACCCGTGGACACAAAGGGTGCACACGTCGAAGGTGGATACTCTCCTGGCTATGATTGGCGACCGGGCGTGGCTCTTCTCTCTTTCAAACCTGAATACGACGACGATTCCTTTTTTTTTCTTTTTTTACACTCTTTTTTTATTTATTTCTTTCTTTCTTCCCTCCTTTATACATATTTGGTTTGTACTTTTTCTATTATTTTGTATTTTCTCATTTCTTTACTTTTCATCGATTTTATCAAAACGATTCACGTACTTTCGTATACTTTGTAATATAATAAGATACTTTTCAAACATTTTATATTCTATATCTTTTTATTTTAATTATGTAAATTAATTGTTCGATTTTTGTGCAATGAAACAATCCTGTTAAAGTCAAAGTTAAGTTTCATTTGCTTTATGATAAGCTAAATTTGATTATCTTATCGTTGATCAAATTAATTATTAACAATTCAAGTTTTTATCTCGTCGTGATATAAAAAGAAAAAAAGAAAAATTATATATTCTATAATTAGCAATTGATTAGTTTGAAATAATTGGTATATTATCTGAAGAGCAGATTAAATTACAAGTTCTATTTTTTGGTATTGGGGGAATCACCGATCAAAGGCTTATTCAGGGTCCTCTGTATATTCTCTGTATCATTACACAGTTTGATTAGCATCGGTCGGTATGGTCATTGTTCACCATATATAAAAGCAATACTCTACTATCTAAATGTTTTAAAATTATCAGCAGTATATAAAGAAAATTCGTATGTTTTACGTAAAGATTACAGTAGATACGTTAGCCGATATCCTTAACAGCAGAAAAAAATGAATTGCTCTTACTTACACACTTTTTGCTCAACATTATTTTATCAAATATTTTTTATTTATCGTTAATTTATTAAAAATAATTATTTCACTTTGAATAATTATGAAATGTTATATAAACAATATGTAATAAAAGTATTTACAGATACCAGGGAATAGTCCAAAAAGCACTGATTCATTTGTTTCTGCGGTAGGTTTTTTACTGTTTGTAATTTTGATGGTAAGCTACCATCCGATCACGATCGGTAAGATAAAAGAAGAGCACTACTATTACCGATATTAAGCTTAGAGATGTTACTAGAATGTTACTAGAATTAAATTAAATAATCGTCTTCATAATCATTCATATTTAAATGAAATGTTAAACTTTAACATGTATGTATGTAATATGCATTATTTTATTAACAAATATATACAATTTCTTTAAAATTATATTGCTGTTACATATTTTTTAACAACATCACGATAAAATTCAAAAATCCTGGTACTAGCTTGTTCACATTTATCCAAACATTCTAGAAATTCTTCATTGGTAAAACGTCCCGATGTTTGACAAGAGATAAAATTTCTATGTATACTGTCATACGTAAAAGTTAAAACCGCTCTAGATTTCTAACAAATAAAAAACATAAATATATTCGTAAAAATTTTCATTAAATGATATCATTTGATTTTATTTTCTTACCTGCAATTGATTACTGTTAGGATCAAGTATCACTTTTCCTGTACTTTCTTCAATCATACAATTAACAGCAGCCATAGTAAATTTCAAAGAAATTCCTGAATTAATTAAAGCCAAGCATGCTGCATTAATAGTACAAGCTAGGAGCTGAAAATAATTGAATTTTAATAAGAATGTTATTTATATATTATCATTTAAGATATACAAATATCAACTGACCCCTCCATTATCCTGCACTTCTTGTATGTTTATACTTATTGCAGAAGCAGGATGAAGATTAACAATAATCCCAGCTTCGCATGATTCTTTTAAATATAATTCTACTACCCTGTCGTTTATCTCTAAAACAATTAAAAACATACTTCGTATTAATTACATTTATTTTTTTCAAGATAAATTTAATAATGAATAGATTAAATATATTTAATAGTTTTACTTGGTGGTCCTTTCAAAGGACTATAAATAACTTCAACAGAAGCTTTATCATAAATCATTTTCTGTGCTTTAGTTTCTATAGGTCCATAAACACCGGCTATAACAGCTGTATCACCTAAAAATCAATACATATAATCCATTGTAATATAGTTTAAAAAATAATAAATTTGATAAGATGTTTATACCTTGCATTAACATTGCTGATCCATCGGGCATAGAAAGTTTATTCAACTCGCATATCATTGGACGAAGTGGACATTCAGTTTGTGACGTAGTTTGATCCATTCTTATAGTTATTTTATGTTATATATTTTTAATTTAGAATGTTTTAGTAAATTTTAAAGGTTATGTATGACCCAAGCACATGAGGATGAAACAGCATCAAAAACAAAAAGCAAAAGCAGGTGTTCTTTCGACGACACCTAAAGTTCTATCGTATAATGTATAAAACCTTACTAAGTAAGAAATATTGCTTTATCGATATATTATCGACGAACGAAATTCTAATATTACTAGAAAATCTACTTACCGACGTGTGGTATCATGATAAAAGAAATTCATACAGTATCGGTACATAAACGCAAAGGTATTTAAATATATCACAATTAATCTTGATTATTTTTCGTATTTTATTGCTTTTAATTGAGTTAACGTTGGGTTTAATAATTCATGAAGTTAATTGTCAATTATTCATCCTCTTCGTCATCCTCATCATCTTCCTCATCCTCTTCCTCTTCCTCACCTAATTCCTCTTCACCTTCTCCTTTACAAAAATTAAAAAAAAAAACAATGAATAGACGAATTATCGATTATAATTATTAAATAATGATCATTTACCAATGAATAAAGGTGGTGGTGGTAAATGTGCGATACGATAAGCTTCTTCTTCCTCAAAAGTCGGATCCCGAATCTCCATGATTTCCGGACCAATTTTGTACTGATCCTGAACGGGAGGCATAGATGGTGGATTGTAATTGTAAGCGGTGTACTTGTGACCCCAACCGATGTACACGTTGGCGAAACGTCTGCGAAAATGACACCATTAAAATTGCATTAGCGTAATTTCGCGCGCATTAATTTTCTGGTAACGTGACTGCAGATCAGCATAATTTCCTCCGCTCCGTTAACTCATATCGCGATCTCGAACGATCGTTTGTACGCGCGAGAATTTATTTTACAGCCGTGAAATAGGTACGTGCCTATGCGCATTACATAAAGTTGGACAAATTATTCAGTCATTTTCTTTTCAAATTATTCATTTCTTTTCTTTTCTTTTATTTTTGTATCTCTTGCTATTATGTTAATTAAAATACGGAATAATGCAAGAACCTGTCAACAGCGAACGCGTATGCACCAGGCCAAATATTTGACCTCACTAAAGCAACTGCAGTGTCCAGTTGAACGAACGAAGATTGTCTCGTCGTCCATGGGAATACTGATTCTAAAATCGCATCCTCTGACAATGGTGACAATAAAGGTGGTCCAGTTTCTTTAATAGCATCTCCCGTTCTCGTTCCTTCAACTTTTTCCACATCTTCTTCTTCTTCTTCCTCTTCTTCCTCTTCCTCCTCTATAACTTCTTCCTAATAAAAGTCAACAATCACTTTTGTATCATCGATGATTAATATATTATCCGATGAAACATTAACTATTAAAAGAAATATTTTAGTATAGTTCGCAATAAACGTATCAGAATGTTAATGAGAGAGAAACATTTAATTTAATTATTTCATTATTTAACTCGTTTAACGAGATTAATCATTGAATTTCTATTATTCTCGTGATACGAATAAAAGTATCGTTCTATTTCGATGAATAAAAAAAGAAAATAAATTAGAATGAGGAGAATTTTATATGAGAAAATAATGATAATATCTAATAGTTGTTAGGCAACCTCTTTTTCTCGTGGATCCCACCAAACTGTACGTCCCTGCTTCAGAATGTATGGAGTATGATGACACCAATTCGACATTGATGGATCCACTAGATCCTTGACCGGCAATGGATCGTAATGTACGTTCTCCGTCAAGGTCCCTCCTGAATGTAGAATAACCTCGTTGATAATTAATCAAATCGAAATCCTAACGTTTTATCCGGTTTAACAGAGATTACAGATCATGGAATACACATCGATATATATCGATCATTATACCTTCTTCCATTTCTTCATCAATTTCCTCTTCCTCGTCCAATCCGGTGAAGGTGAAATAACCGATCGGTGAAATATCGGTCGCAGCACTGATTCTAGCGATTTCTGCACGAAGATAATTTTCTTCCGTACCGGGAAAAGCCGGAAATGTATGCATCTAATAATTATAAATATATTTTCCCGAGAATTCGTATTAATTATTAATTCAATGAAATATATTGTCGAGAGTAATATAATTATTATACCGGTGTTTTTAAATTGCCAGTAAAATAACGAACGATTTGACGTGCTATTATTATTTGTTGCGGTGTCACAGGTGGAAGTTCGTGCCAATCATCGATTCCTGGGTTATTGCATACGAAATATACCTAAATTCAATATATACCAAATTATTTATTATATTGATAAAATAAATGTATATAACGTAATCTTGATTTAAGATAAATCTTATCACCTTGGTGTTTACCCCGGTTCCAATCTGTTCCGGTGGCACTTCCGCTGTCATTTTCCACGTATTAATTGGTAACGGTGGAAATACCAAATGCAATCCTTTTTCCTCCTCCTCGTTGTCGTCTGAAATTTCTTTCTTCATTTCCATATCTCGTTCTTCTTTAACTTCCTCACTTTTATCTTCTTCTCTAATCTCTTCCACTGGTGTCGTTTGCTACTTCAAAATCATATTTTATTTTAATATACATATATATATATTTAAAGTAAGAAAGAGAAATCAGTTTAACATGATATAGGAACGTAACCTCTAATCTTCTTTGTAATTCGTCATCCAAAAATTCGGCTTCCACCACATAATAATTCTTCGGATTACCAAGGATCTTACCCCAAAATCTATATTCACGATAAATCGGATTTTCGAGTAGCTTATTTTAATAATAAGATCAAAAAGTCTTCTAGTTTGATCCTAGGAAAGAATATTTTCAACATGTTACCTAAGGTTTTCAATGGGAACTTTACTCGCGAGTTTTCTTATCGCTAGATTTAGTAAAACCATCTCGCCTCGTGGCAAACCAACACCGGTTTGTTCGAAATAAAATAATAAATCCATGGTGTTTGGTATTCCTTTCTTTTTCTCACTATCCTCATCCTCTTCCATTCTATCTTCCTCCTTTCTCGTTTCAGTTACCGGGTTCTTTAAAATCAAACCAAACATTCGAATTAAATCAAACGCGTGATTTGAGACAATAATTCTCTCTCATTTTGGATTATTTTTTAATTAATTACAAATTATTAATTTACTTGAAACAAATCAATAAGTTTTTTCGCATTTTCGTATTGTCCAGGTGGTACGTAAACGTCACGCAAATGATCAGTTTGAGTTTTATATCTTTCTTCCTTCAACCTTCTGCTGTACACTTCAAATATATCAACCGCATTTTTCGGCTTTTCAGAAAGTATCTTTGCAAGAAGTTCCGATAAATGATCGTATCTAAAAATATCTTTCGATATTAATTATTTGATATCTTACAATAATTGATTTCAACCATAATAATAATCGCGTACAAATTATCACCAGATTCGGGACTATGTTTCAATAAAAATTGTTTGGCACGACGGATATCATGTTCGATGCATGGTTTGTCGTTTGTTGGAACTTCTTCCACGTTGTAAGAATAAGCCATGTGTTTTTATCGATGACACTTTTAAAAAACAAAATATACTTTTAGGGTTAAAGTTAGAAAATGAATTACTTAATTATCGTTAACTCGTTAATGAAACATAACCATATAATTGTAGTTCTCGTCTGTTTTATTATTTTCAACGGAATTCATCTCACACATTTAACACACATATACGTGTCTCATATATATATAAATATATATCATAGACTTATTTGCACTGATTAAAAAAACAGCAGACTCCGCCTCTCGTTCTTTTAATAGACGTTATTCAATCGTTTTGTTCCTAACTCGGAAAAGGCAAAAAATATAATAAATTATCTGTACGACCTAATTATTTTAATGAGTCTCCTGCCAAATTCGCTTTATCTAACTAATATAAGAAGTATAAGTAGAAGAAGATAAAACTGGACCAACGATAAATGTCATCCCATGCGCTATTTTTGATATCAACTGTTACTTAACGATAATTATTATACTTCGTATAAAAATGAAAGTATAAGTTTCTTCATACATTTTCTATATTCAAAAATAGTTAACTAAATTATGTTATAGATATATATATATATATAATATATTATTTATAGTTTTATAAATATTTATTTAATATTATTTTGTGTAAAAATTATATAAAAATGGTCTACAGAATTAGATCTAGCAAATTTCTACACTAGCATTGAAAAATACGAAAGTTATTGAAAAGCTTATCTCGATAATTATTTCATAAGAGATAAGTGAAACGTGAATTAGAAATTTTTCGTAGCAAGCAAACGGCATGTATCGGAGGTGAATCTGAATCTGAATGAACATATGTAGAATATATATCTATATATATGAATATAAGTATGTGTGCGTGTATATATCTTTTAATGAAGTTGAATCACACGCGCCAGTTTCTATCAGTTTGCATCCTGAAGCTCGTAGTTATCATCTATCGGGTGTCCTAAATACAACCAAAGCTACCCGAGGTCATCCGGCATATTTCCTTTGACGCCCACCGAATAGCATACACGTATACATACATACATAAATGCATGCATGCATACTGACACGCATACACATATTTACATGTATAAAGAATATCGCGTGCGTTACCAATTAAAAAAATTTCTTCTAATCAATTTCTGTTTCTTTTTCTGTTTCTTTTTAATTCACTTTTCTAATTTAACTTCTTTTTCTTTCTTTCTTTTTTTTTATTTTAATCTTTCGAAAGAAAAACACGAAGATTTTTTTTATCTGCAAAAATCGTATCGTCAGGGTATAGGTACGTACGCGATTCGTTCGTACGGAACATCGGTTCGGAAAATGATAGACTATTACGGTTAATGGAGATTTCTATGAGCATGCATTAAAATGGAGATCGGTGTCTGAGAGGTCACGATGCGTTTATGGGCTTATTATATTATATGATTAATCATTATGCATAAATATTTATTCATATTATGTATAATAGGATTATATGTACAAGTTATAATAAATTTAAATATACATTTATTAATAAAGTATAGAAAATATTTATAATAATAATAATAATAATAGATATCTCGGGTCGAGTAAAAAGATTCGTCTCGTTTATATTTTACATTCAAAATTAAAATAAGTTTCTTTCATATTTTCTATTCAGCACCTTTTT